ACATACATTCTCTTACAACATTCCCACAAAGCTTGCATGAAAATATATGACCCACCCCCTATTTGCAGCAGCCCCCTCTTTATAAATAATTACCAGTCCCTAAGTTGGATAAAACATTTGAGTCCGAGGCCTAGCCATAGGTTTTTCATGCTCAATAAAAAGTGAGGTTTTTAAATATTATAACTTAGAAAACTATTTCCCATAGTCTATATTTTTTGTTTGGGACTAATAAATATTAATGAGTTTTCTAATGTGTTTTATAGCTGCAGCTCAATCAGGCGCACAATCTCCTCAGCCTCAAACACTTCAGTCTGCTGCACAGTCTAAAGAACAAGCCTCAACCTATAGTGTGTCTCAAGCAACACTGCAGGCCAGGCAACTTTCAGCTGCAGCTGAACAAAGGCGGCTCTTTGGCYATGGATTTGGCAGACGGCCGAACTCCTCTACCAAGTCATCTAAGGGGAAGCATGTAAAATCATGCATGCTCAAATTTGTTTGCCTAGCATCCAAAGATGCAGACCATCCACCAACAACTGTGAAGCAAAGGACAGTTTTGTCCAATGCTGGGTTGGGAGATGGAAGCATCTCCTTTCCCCAAGATGGCACATCAGTTTATGGAGGGATCRTGGACAAGTATCCCAAATTAAAGTCAGTCGGAGGATTTGACCTCCTACTTYACCAGAGGGGTGGTGGAGAGGATAGCGGCTTCCACCAAATCTTGCCACCCCACACCCCAGAACACCTTAAGGAGCTCTGTGGGCAGGCAAAAATTTACATTAGACCAGTCCAGCAAGATATTGCCTTGGATGATGCAGCAAAACTAGATACAGAGAAGGTAAGTTGTTACTGTACACTGTTTCTGCAAAAACTAATAATTCGAAATTGAAAAAGAATATGAAAAACTGTATTGTATAAATTGTAGAATGTGAAAACTGGATGGGATGGGATTGGGTTGAAAAAATATTACCTTCTTATAGAATTAAATTTTACTTATTTTCTTTTTCATATATATGCTCAATGTGATTACAGTATGAACATGAAATTTTTACCATAATTAAAAATCTATTCCATAGGCGTAGGAGTTTAAATTTATGTTTATCCACTCGACTTACTAGAATGCAAATGTTTACTTTGTACCATGTTTTTCCCCGTTTCAGATTCAAAACGACATTCCACTGATTGAATGCTTTACATGTGGAGATCACATTCCCATGACAGAGATACATTCTCATAAGGAATCGCACCAGCAAGTTRCCAAGGTAGGTACTCTTAGGAGATAACTCTTAGATACTACTWTTTTAACAGTGACACCTGATCAGTGTATAACAGCAACCTAAGAAAGTTATTCCAATAGACCTGGACACTACTTATTAGCTGTTTGTGATTATTTAATTTATGCAAAGCAAAAAAAGGAAACAAACATTAATAACAAAACAATAGGCCCTTTACAGCATCAGAATTAGGCTGAATTTTGAAGACAAAACATAGGTTTGTGGTTATCTGGAGGTTGAGATTCTTTCATGTTGCCCTCCAAATTCAGCTGCATTCTGGCCTATTTCTATTTGATTAGTTAGTAGAGCAAAGGCTAATTTTTCAGCTGTACTTATTGTAAATATTTTCTTGTAGCCCATACAGGAAAAACAAACAACCATGGAGATGTTTGACTCAGACATAGTTGTAAGGTACTTTTTTCATTTTTAATAACAATTTTTTTCTGGGCACACTTTCCCCCTTTACCATCCCACRAACAGATCTTGTTCACACTCTCACCCTCTCTCTCAGTCCATGCTAGTGCTAGGTTCATTGACAATTAACAATACTTATTTGTGCAATTGATAACTACAGTGATTCTCCAAGTACAAGTGCAATGGCAGGGTCTTTATCAAG